TCACCCAAGTTACTTGATATCAGCATGGCACGGGCACACTCAGTGCAGGACCTGGGTGGAATGGACAGGAGAGCACCCATGTGGAGCAGGGGCATCACTGAGGTGGCAGAAACTTGGGCTGGGTGACAGAGCGGCCCTGGGAATGCCCAGCCAGAACAGCTTCCAGAATCTCCCAGCTGCCTCAGAGGCCTGGGTCCCCACCCTTTGGGCTGTTGGGCCCAGGGACTTACGGAGAGGTGACCCAGAGGGAACAATCAGAACTTGCTTGGTAGGCAAAGGAAACAACCCCAACAAAGGAATCGATCCCCTTCCCCTGGGGACAGTGCCTGGTGAGCTGTCCAGTGCAGGGCGGTCTGGCAGGCCATCAGCCATCCTTGTTCTCCGCACAGCAGCCAAGTCTGCCAGGAGCTGGAGCAGGAAGGAAAAAAAAGGGGGACCTGGGGTTCTGTGGACATCCCTGTGGCATGCCCAGAGCTGACTGGGGGCCTGGTGAGGCCCTGGGAAACCACAGCCCAGGGCTCTGGGCTTGGAATGGTGTGGGCAGGGTGTCACCTCACCAGGGGCTGCAGAGGGACCGGCTGGTGAGTGTTGAGTCCTTGTCCCTAACCCTGGACGCCGGCCCCACAGGCCAACCATGCGAGTGGCACTCCATCGATGGCAGCATCGTGCTGCCTGTGGCCTCAGGCTCCCCCAAGGCACTAGCCCTGGAGCACGCTCTGTGCCTCACAGGGGACGGCCTGGCCTACCTGCAGGCCACCAACCCCCAGCAGCTGCTGCACCTCATCCCCCACGTGCAGGTGTTTGCCCGGGTGGCCCCCAAGCAGAAGGTGCGTGCAGGACCCTGGAGAAGGGAGGGCTGGGGGTGGGCACACAGGCCTGCTCAGCCTGTCTCCGCTCCTCCCTGCAGGAGTTCGTCATCACCAGCCTGAAGGAGCTGGGCTACGTGACCCTCATGTGCGGGGACGGCACCAACGATGTAGGCGCCCTGAAGCACGCTGACGTGGGTGAGTTCCCCCTTCGGAGGGCTGCCGGGGAAAGAGGCCTGACCCTGGCTGTGCAGGTCCAGCACGCACCAGGCCTGGAGTTCTACTCCCAGCTCTGACAAAAAAGACGAAAATAGCGCAAGGCAATGTGGAAGCAATGCAGGGGACAGGAGAGGCCAGCAGGATGCAAGGATCTGAGGGGCTGCAGTCAGGTGGGGACACAAGTGTGAGGGACAGGTGGGGAGAGTGGCAGAAAAGCTGGAGGCCGGGTCTGTCAGGACGGTCAGCCGTATCTCGCTGCCCCGGCTCTGCAATGCTACCCGGTATTACCTCTCATGGTTGTGCTGTTCAGGCAAAGGGCATCTTTGGAAACCAGTGTCGTTTCTTTCTGTTGTTTGGGGGCTTCGGGGAAGGGAGTTTTTGGCTGGTTGGTTGGTTTTTGGTTTTTGTTTTGGGGTGTTTTTTGTTTTGTTTTGCTTTTTAAGGTAGTGTCTCATTGTGTAGCCTGGACTGGCCTGGAACTCAAGGTCCTGCTTCCTGTGTGTTCAGATGACAGGCGTGGCTGCTGCCTGTGCAGAGTGACCCATCTGGTGCCTTTTCCATGTGCTGTGTTGTGAATTTTGTTCCCTTAAGTCGCTAGTAGAAAGGAAAGGGGCACCCTCTGGGGTGTCCTTCAGGAGGTCTGGTGACAGGAGAGGCTTGCACAGCTGCTAAGCTCAAGGGCCACAGCTCCAAGGCTGGAGTGCCCAGCTTGGCGTGCGGCCCACTTCTAGGGCCAGGGCACCACCCCTCACCCCTCCTCCCGTCGTCCTCAGGTGTGGCGCTCCTGGCCAATGCCCCCGAGCGGGTAGTCGAGCGGCGACGGCGGCCAAGGGACAGCCCCACCCTGAGCAACAGTGTCATCAGAGCCACCTCCAGGGCCAAGCACAGGCTGGGGGTCCTGCCCCATGAAGAGCAGCCAGCCTCCCAGAGGGTGAGTGCCAGGAGAACAGACACTGGCAGCCCCCGCCGGCCAGGGCTGACCTGTGGTCCCCCACAGGACCGCTTGAGCCAGGTGCTGCGGGACCTTGAGGATGAGAGCACGCCCATCGTGAAGCTGGGGGACGCCAGCATCGCAGCACCCTTCACCTCCAAGCTCTCATCCATCCAGTGCAGTGAGTCCCGCCCTGCCCCGCTCCGCGCCGCGCCCCACGCCACGCCCCGCCGCCCACTGCCCCCCGCAGCACCACCCACCCGGCCTCTCGCCATGCAGTCTGCCACGTGATCAAGCAGGGCCGCTGCACACTGGTGACCACGCTGCAGATGTTCAAGATACTAGCGCTCAACGCCCTCATCCTGGCCTACAGCCAGAGTGTCCTCTACCTGGAGGGGGTCAAGTTCAGCGACTTCCAGGCTACCCTACAGGGGCTGCTGCTGGCCGGCTGCTTCCTTTTCATCTCCCGTTCCAAGGTGGGCCCTGCAAGGACTGGAGGCCAGGGATCCCAGAGCCAGCAAGGGCTGTCACAGGCCCTTCCATATGTCAGTCACTTCCCTTCCCAGCAGCCCCTGGGGTGGGCGCTGTCATTCCCAAGTTACAGGTAGGACCGTGTGCAGAGTGACAGGACATGCCCACAGGGCAGGGCCAGGCCATGGCTCCCAGACACTTCGAGTGACACAGCTTAAGGTCTTCCTGTGTGGGGGCTGAGGTCTCGGGTGGGCCATGCAGCCCTACAAGCAAGGACAAGGGGAAAGCTACTGGGAGCACTGAGAAGGCTTGCGGTGCAGTGAGAACACGCAGTGGGTCGCACCGACACTGCTGGCCTGTGGGGATAGACAGGGCTGCTGGGAGCTGAGCACAAAGGCCTGACACGCACGGCTGACACAGTGGTGGCCCAGGGGTGCCAGGCAGCTTCCATCACTGTGACCCCAGCCTGAGGAAACAAAAGGAGGGAAGACTTACCCTGGCCCACAGTTTGTGGTCATTTGTCACATTGACTGTGAGGAGCCAGATTCACGGCAGAGAGCATAGCGTAGAGCTGAGCTGCTCAGCTCCTGGTGACCAGGGAGCAAGGTGGGGTGGGAAGGAGCCAGGAACAAGATAGAGCCCCAAGGACACGCCCCTGAGGACCCACTCCTTCCAGCTAGGTCCTGCCATGGAGTTTGCACTCCCTCCTGTAGTTAAGCAGATTCCGGGGCCGTCAGTGGCCTGGCTGCTGGTGCACTCAGTGTCCCCCAGATCCTTCTCCCCAAAGTCCACCTCTGATGACTGCTGCGCTGGGCACTCAAGTCTTTGAGAAAGCATAGGACAGATGCAAACCATGACAGGGCGAGAGGCAGCCAGGCCTCACTGTGGGCCCTGAGGCTTTGCATGGTGGAGTGGGAGCGGGAGCGCAGGATCTGCTTTGTGGCTTCAGGACCCCTGTGGCTGCCACTGTAGGTGTAGACAAGGGCCTCGCCACGGGATTGGGTGACCAAGTGTCTGCACAAGGCCCTCTCTAGGAGGCGGGGGGCGTCACTGCCTGCTGAATGCTGTGGTGGCCTCAGGATGATCCCAGCCCCAACCACTGCACGCTCTGCCCCCATAGCCCCTCAAGACCCTCTCCCGGGAGCGGCCCCTGCCCAACATCTTCAACCTGTACACCGTCCTCACGGTGATGGTGCAGTTCCTGGTGCACTTCCTGAGTCTCGTCTACCTGTACAGCGAGGCCCAGGCCCGCAGCCCTGACAAGTGAGTGGGAGCAGGGAGGGGTGGGGACGGAGGGCGGCCCGGAGCCTGACCCCACACCCTGCAGGCAGGAGCAGTTCGTGGACCTGTACAAGGAGTTCGAGCCGAGCCTGGTCAACAGCACTGTGTACGTCATGGCTATGGCCATGCAGGTGGCCACATTTGCTATCAACTACAAGGTGAGCTAAGCCCTCCCGCGCCAGCACCTGCCCACGCCCGCCCCACCTCCACCACACGGGCCCTCTGCCTGCCCCACAGGGCCCGCCCTTCATGGAGAGCCTGCCCGACAACAAGCCCCTGCTGTGGAGTCTGGCCGTGTCACTCCTGGCCATCGTCGGCCTGCTCCTCGGCTCCTCACCAGACTTCAACAGCCAGTTTGGCCTTGTGGACATCCCCGTGGAGGTGAGTGGCTCTGCGGCAGCCACCCTGGGGCTCAGCTTGGCCGACAGCAGGGCCCTGACTGACCAGCCCGCCTACCCCTGCAGTTTAAGCTGGTCATCGCCCAGGTCCTGGTCCTGGACTTCTGCCTGGCACTCCTGGCCGACCGTGTCCTACAGTTCTTCCTGGGGACCCCAAAGCTGAAAGTGCCTTCCTGAGGTGGTGGTGCTGGAACCCACCGCCCACCCTGGCTGCTGCCGGGCAGGAGCCCCACCAGGGCCCCAGGAGGGAATGCTGCCTGCCACCCAACCCCTGTGGTGAGGCTCCCCAGTGTTGCCCTTGGAAGACTGAGCTGGGACCCCAGCGGGCATGCAGCCCCGGGCCGGCACCTTTGGTAAATAAAACAGAGTCTGAGATTTTAAGAAGCCTTGCCTCTGCCTTGTCTGTGCTACACAGGTCAGTAGGGGTCAGCAGGCCATGTGGTCACTGAAGAAGGCCCATCTTACCTCCCCACAGGTCACGGAGGTGAAGGACTCTCTACCTCAGACCGCTTGAGCCACACCTCCAATCCTTTGTTGTTTTGGGGTGTTTTCCCCCTGGTATATTCCCTGATTCGGCCTGGGCTGCACAAAGACAAAAAGTGCATGATTCCTTTCTCTTGCATCCTAGTGCAAACCAAAAGAACAACAGCAGATTGTTCCGGGTCTACCAGTGGATGCGATGTTTGTGCTATTTTTGAGACAGAGTCTTCCTTCAGCCAGGCCAGCTTGGACCACGATTCCCCATTTATGCTTCCTGCAACAGCCAGGGTGACATGCGCGTGCCACCACCCTGCTTTTTCTATTGAGATGGGGGTCTCACAAATTCTGCCCAGGCTGGCCTGTAACTGCACCCCAATCTCAGCCTCCTGCAGGCCTAGGATGACAGGTGCAGGCCACCGCCAGCTATTGGTTGAGATGGGGTCTCAGACTTTTTGCCCAGGGTGGCCTCAAACCATGATACTCCCATTCTCTGCCTCCCCAGTAAAGCAGGATTCCAGGCATGAGCCACTGGCCCCCGTTTTCTAGTTGAACACACAGCCCGTCTCAATGTTTTCTGCACGTTCTAACAGTGGAGGCACCGGGAGAAGCTGAGGGTGAAGGGTACTTTTTCATTTCCCATAGAAGGAGAACTCACCTTCCTCAGCTTGTGGAAGGTGGTGCACGCCATCACGGCCTGCCTGGGGTCATGTTCCTTGGGGTCCTGGGAACTGTACCATCTCACTGCACTGGCCAGGGCCCTGGCTGGAATGTGACCCAGAATCCTGACTCAGTCCCTGGGGTGGTAGTGACCTTCCCTTCAAAGGACACTCACTCAACTCAAGAAGTCAGCGTGGGCAGCAGAGCTAGCCACAGCCAGCTGGGGATTGCTTGTCTCTTGGCAATAGCCAAAAGCTGGGGGGTGCTGAGTTCCACGTGTGCTTTAAAGTCAACTTCCATCCAAACCTTGCGTGGCGCTGGGCGTGGTGGTACTCACAGTGGGGACCCTCCCTCCCCCCTGCGCAGTGGGACCTCGGTGCCCTCCCCCTCCCCGCTGCCTTGTCCACAGCCCACCCCTTGGCTTCGTGGCAGGAGGGGGAAGAGGCGGAAAGCAGCCAGATGGCCAGGGTTTGGGGAGGGGCGGGGCACTGGCAGAGGGACGAGCCTTGGAGGTCGCAGAACAGGGGTCTCTGTGTCCAGCTCTTCAGGTCTCCGGGGGGTCCCTAGCATCAAGAGGGACCTCTGATTCCGCCGGAGTCCTGCGGGACGTCAGCCCTCCACCAGAGGGCGCCACGGCCCGGGTCGGCCGGTGTCGATCCCGGGATCGCAGAGGCCGGCGGGCAGGGGGGTCACTGGGTCGGAGGGTGTGGAAGCTTCTCAGGCAGGCACCCCAGGCCGGCAGACTCTGTAGGGACACCGGGTTCTGTGGGCTTTGGGGCGGCACAAGGGACCCCCCGGCCTGGATGAAGTCCTCGGATGCCTCGGTCCGGAGCGCGGCGGCCCCGCCAGGCCGGGCTTCAGGCAGCCGCAGCCGGGGCTTCCGGGCCGCGGGGTGTGGCCGTGGGGCGTGGCCTGCTGTGGGCGTGGTCGCCGTGGGCGTGGCTTCTGCCGCGGGGGCGTGGTCGGGGCTGGGCGGCGGCGGCGGCGGCAGGAAATCGGGGCTGGTCCCCGCGGGCGCGCGACTTCATCCGCGTCCCGGTCCCCGCCGAGCGACCCCCGGGCCTCGCCATGGACGCCGCAGAGCCGGGTAACGGGGTCTGGGGTGCGGGCATCAGGGGAAGCCTGCCATGGCCGTCCCTTCCTGACTTCCTACATCGAGGAGCCCCGCTTGTCACTCTCGGTCCCCAGAGCCGGGAGCCCATCGTTGAATGGGAAGGATGCAGGGATCCCACACTGCGGGGACCCCCAATCCGGGGGGAGCGCGGGACGCCGGCCTTGGTCGCCCCCGTACCCCGCTTCCGAGCCCTCACCCCGGACGCCTGGGGGAAGGGGCCCAGGAAGGGGAAGTGCCCGCTTCTGCTTCTGATTTTTGTGATGGGGGCAGGGTGTCACGGCCGCGGGTGGACAGGGCAAGGCGGTGGGATCCCCTCGGGGCGCCCCCATGGCGTCCGGGGCCGGACAGTGCGAGGCTGGGGCCGCCGGCGGGGAGAGGCGGGGGCGGCGGCAGAAATGTGGCGAGGTCCGACTTGTGCTTCCGGCTGTCTTTGTGTCTCAGTTGTTGTCTGTAGAGTGTCATCCAGTCTTTCTGTCCCTCGTGATTTCGATCTGGCCTGTGTGTGTGTGTGTGTGTGTGTGTGTGTGTGTGTGTACACCGCAGGCTCTGGACCTGTGTGTCCCACGTGTATTTCCATCTGTCCGGCCTAGGGTCCATGTGGTTCCATTGTCAAGCTGGCTCCCTCCTCCACGAGAGCATAGCTGCATCCGGGAGGCCTTGGGTTTGTTGCTGGGTTCTGGGGTCAGCCGCCCCTCGGAGCAGCTGTCTGTGTTTGCCTGTGTCTGGGTCCATCTGACTACCTGAGTTGGCCTCACCGAAGCTGACTGTCCCATCCCCCACCCACTCTCCACCCAGTCTCTCTCTCTCTCTCTCTCTCTCTCTCTCTCTCTCTCACCCCCTGGTTGAGGTGCTGATTGCAGAGCCGTGGGTGGAGGGAGGCAGTGGTTGGCCCATGTGTTACACTCATACTCACTCCCTTCCCACAGGGCTCCCTCCAGCTCCGGAGAGCAGGAAGAGATACAGTGACATCTTCTGGAGTCTGGACAACCTCGAGATCTCCCTAGGGAACGTGTGAGTCTGAGCCTGGGTCACCCATATCCTCCCAGGATTCCCCCCAAACACCTAACCATTGGGTGCTCTGAAGCCTCCCTGGGAACCTGCAACCTCTGAACCCGCTTGGCTGAGAACCTGAGATGTGTGCCCCAGGTGGTGGTCCTAAGACCCCACCAATACCCTTCTTGTGACCCCTTAACATAGTTCCGATCACTACACTTCTGCTCTGTGAACCCCAGTTACCTTTCTGAAGTCCTATTACAAACCTCCCCTGAGACTGGCGCTGTAGTTCTGAGCTGGAGCCTCTACCTAGCACGTACAAGGCCCTGCGTTCAATTCCTCCAGTACCCCAAAAAACGAAAAGAAAATAGCTCACCTGGTTCCCTCCCAGATTCTCAGCCTTCCCAGACACAAGAGATGCCCCAGCGGTGGCATCCATACTGTATCCCAATCTGCCCCAGCATCCCCAGCACCTTCCCCCATATACAGAGGGCATCCTCCCCTTCCAGGACCTTCGATATGTTGGCTGGAGACACTGCACTTCCAGAAGACCCGGAGCCTCACAAGGCTGCCCCAGCCACTGTGGCGAGTGAGGTGACAGAGAGGAGGGGACTGAGGCAGGGGGGGTTGGGGGAAGGTGGGATCCCTGCCCTGCTTTGCTCCTGACTTCTGTCTCCCTCCCCCCAGACCAGTGAAGGCAGCCGTTGGAGCGGCCCCTCCCTGGAGGCTCCTGTGCCCCTCACAGGTAGGGGGTCTCTGAGGGGAGGACAGCGAGCAGAGAAGGGAGCCCCTCCTTCATTACGTCATCGCTGATCCTGTTCCGTGCAGCGGACACAGCAGTGCATACAGCATAGCTGTGCCCCTGGCCTCAGGGATCCCCCAGTCTGGGTAGAGACTGTTAAAATTGCAACCAGGACAGCAATCCCAAGTTGGATTTTTTGGGGAGCTGGGAGGGTACAGTACAGGGACCACTGGCCTGGTCTGGGGACTCAGGGAAGGCTTCCACAGGAAAGCAGGGGTCAGAGTTCAGGGGGTCCAACCATGTGCCCCAGGGGAAGAACTGGACTTGCGACTCATTCGGACAAAGGGGGGCGTGGATGCAGCCTTGGATTACGCCAAGACATGGAGCCGCTATGCCAAGGAGCTGCTGGCCTGGACAGAGAAGAGAGCCAGCTATGGTGAGGACCCCTTCCACCCCGCCCCACTCCCCAAGCTGGGCCCAAACCCCAGCTGCATCCAGACTCCTTCTGTCTTCCCCTCTCCCCTCCCCAGAGGTGGAGTTTGCCAAAAGTATCATGAAAATCGCCGAGGCTGGCAAAGTGTCCATCCACCAACAGGTAGCCGTGACTAAACCTCCCCAGAGCCCAAACCCCTCAGGACCCCATCCCTGTCCCCCTGAATCTTCACAAGCCCTCTTACACCCCACCTTCAGAGTCATATGCCACTTCAGTACATCTACACCCTGTTTCTGGAACATGACCTCAGCCTGGGAACTCTGGCCATGGACACGGTGGCCCAGCAAAAAAGAGACTACTACCAGGTGAGGGGCAGAGCGTGATGGTGACCGGGGCATCCTGTTGTCCTTGTGTTCCCTTCAGGAACTTGCCCAAGGTCACCCGGCAGAGATTCAGATGGATTTCCTGTGTGATTGCAAAACTGTGCGGTGTTTGTTGGGGAGGGGGATGGGGGGACGTGAGTGCTGTGTTCTCAGGGAGAAAACCTTGGTGTGTCCAGGTCCAGGCAGAAAGGACGAGGTGATCACTGGTCCTAGACCCTGGGGAGAGGAGACAGACTCAGAAAAGTGGCCAAGCACCAGGTGCTGCTAGCTCATGCCTCAGGAGGCAGAGATTAGAAGGATTACGGTTCAAAGCCAGCCCGGGCAAATAGTTCGAGAGACCCTATCTCGAAAAAACCATCACAACAAAAGGGTTGATGGACTGACTCAAGGTGTAGGCCGTGAGTTCAAACCCCAGTCCAGTCTCGAAAAATACCCAACACAAAACAGGGCTGGTAGAGTGGCTCGAGTGACAGAGCGCCTGGCTAGCATGAGTTCAAACCCCCGAACCCCACCAAAAAAAAAAAATTGGCCCAAGGCCAGTGGTTGTGTGCAAACCAAAAGCCCTGGGTTTAATTCTTAGCCCTGCAAAAAAAAAAAAGAAAAGAAAAAGGGATTCTAGAGGAAGATAGAGGAGGACAAGGGTGCACGGAGTGGAGGGACAGGTGAGTCGTGCCTGTGTGGTGTCCCTAAGGCTGCCCATCCACTTCTTCCACCCTTGCCAGCCCCTGGCCGCCAAACGGACTGAGATTGAAAAGTGGAGGAAGGAGTTCAAGGAACAGTGGCTGAAGGAGCAGAAGCGAATGGTGAGGCCGAGCGGGTGGAGGGTGGCAGGCTAAAGAATGCATTTGAGAGATCGGGGTGCTGACCGTCCCCACGGCCCCCCAGAACGAGGCGGTGCAGGCACTGCGTCGGGCCCAGCTCCAGTATGTGCAACGTAGCGAGGACCTGCGAGCGCGCTCCCAGGGGTCCCCCGAGGACCCAGCACCCCAGGCTTCGCCAGGACCCAGCAAACAGCAGGAGCGGCGCCGGCGCTCCCGAGAGGAGGCCCAGGCCAAGGTGGGGTCCCCCAGCATTTGACACCCCCCATACACACCCTCTGCCCCCTTCCACACACACCCCCTACGCCTCGGTTTCCCCAGGCGCAGGAGGCCGAGGCACTGTATCAGGCCTGCGTCCGAGAGGCCAATGCACGGCAGCAGGACCTGGAGACCACCAAGCAGCGGATCGTGTCGCATGTGCGCAAGCTGGTCTTGCAAGGGGACGAAGTGCTAAGGCGGGTGAGGCCCTTATTCTTGTCCACCCTTCTGTCACCATTTGGGCAACCTGCTAAGTACCCCTCGCCTCTGATCCTGTGCACACCTTGGGATGCCAGGACTCTGCATTTCCTTCCCCAGCCCAAACCCTGACCACGCCCCTGTCCAAGCTGGCAAGCAACCCTAAGCCACCCAGCCACTGTAGATAACCACGCCCCCCGATGACCACGCCCTTCTCAGCCACGCCCTTCTCAGCCACGCCCCCATGCTCTGCTGAGACCCCCCCCAGCAAGCGTTCAGGCTCTGCCCCAGCTCTGGTGGCTCCTCCCCCAGGTTTCCAGGCCCCGCCCATCCCTGACACCTGGCTCCACCTCCCTCCATCAGGTGACCCTGGGCCTGTTTGGGCTGCGCGGCGCACAGGCGGAGCGCGGCCCCCGCGCCTTTGCGGCCCTGGCTGAGTGCTGCGCGCCCTTCCAGCCTGGCCAGCGCTACCAGGAGTTCGTGCGGCTGCTGCAGCCCGACGCCCCGCCGCCCCCGCCACCTGCCTTCTGCTTCCAGGAGTTCTCGCCAGCCGTGCACAGGTGCGCCCCAGCCGCGGGTTTGGGAACCAGCGCAGAGATGCCGTGCCAGGCTGTTGGCACCATAGGGCTGAGTACTCCAGGTTGGAGAGTTCACAGTTCTTAGAGGTTGCAGTCCTGGGAGGGTCAGGACTGTGGGGCTAGTGCACCAGAGCCCTGAGATGATTCAGGGCTTGCAACATTGCACACACAAGGCCTTGAAGTTGGGACCTAGACATGGTGCTGTCACCTGGCGCCAGTTTCCTGGGGGCGGACCCCTCAAAGCCCTCTCCTCGCAGCTCCCCTCTGGACTCCAGAAAGAAGCTCTCTGGGCCTCTGCCTCCGAGGCTGGACGAGAGTTCAGCAGAGCCGGGCTCTTGGGAGGACACCAGTTTAGGCTGCCAGGGTAAGTGTGGCCAGGGCGAGTGGGACTGGTGTCAGGACTCAGGTCATCTTACCAACCTGTCCCCACCCAGGGACTCCAGGCCCCACTCCAGGCAGTGATGTGGACAGCGTGGGCGGCGGCAGTGAGTCTCGATCCCTGGACTCTCCCACTTCCAGCCCAGGTGAGGACAAGTCCTGACCTTGACCCAACCCCCCCTCCTTTGCCCCTCCATTGCTAACCTACCCTTTGACCTCTGACCTATCCTCCACCCCGACCTGTTTCCTCAATCGCTGACCCATTGTCTTGATGGATGCGTTTCCAACTCTTAACCTCTGACCTCTGACCCTCCCCAAGGGTGGATTCTGGGTCTCTTTAATCCTGGAATCTCCCCATGACCCCTGTGATCCTCTGACCCCAGGCCCTGCAACACGGCATCTGGTGAAGGCCTCATCCATAGGCACGGAGTCCTCAGATGACTTCGAGGAGCGAGATCCTGGTGAGGCTGAGGAGAGGGTGTGGTGCTGAGGGGTGGGGTTGGGGGGCAGGACCCGGCACCCTGACCCTGTCTCCCTGCAGACCTGGGAGATGGGCTGGAGAACGGGCTGGGAAGCCCCTTCCGGAAGTGGACGCTGTCCACCGCGGCTCAGACCCACCGGCTGCGACGGCTACGGGGCCCAGCCAAGTGCCGAGAGTGTGAAACCTTCATGGTCAGCGGGACAGAGTGTGAGGAGGTGTGGCCTGGGCGGACGACCTAGTGACCTCTGCTGACCCCGGTGACTTCTCTGACCTGAGAGCCCCACCACCTTCCAGTCCCTGGGACCCTCCCTAATCTGATGAGCTCCTCTGTGTCCCCATTCTGTGAGGATACTCAGGACCTTTTCAGTCCCCTGCTGATCCCCAGCGATCTTCCGATCCTGTGACCTTTCCTCAGTGCCTCCTGACCTGCCACAAGCGCTGCCTTGAGACTCTGCTGATCCTCTGTGGACACCGGCGGCTCCCAGCCCGGACGCCCCTCTTTGGTGTGGACTTCCTCCAGCTCCCCAGGGACTTCCCCGAGGAGGTCCCCTTCGTGGTCACCAAGTGCACGGCCGAGATCGAACACCGGGCCCTGGGTGTGCAGGTGCCACCTTGATCCTTGATCACTTGCCCATCCCCACAAGTGACCTGACACCATCGATGGCCACATCACAAGCCGGGTGTCCCTTTCCCGTTTTCTGCACAGGGCATCTACCGGGTGAGCGGGTCCCGGGTCCGTGTGGAGCGGCTGTGCCAGGCCTTCGAAAATGGCCGTGCTTTGGTGGAGCTTTCTGGAAACTCACCTCACGATGTCACAAGTGTCCTCAAACGGTTCCTGCAGGAGGTGGGTGCCCAGGGGGCTTAGCGGGTGGTGGGCCAGGCCGGCTCGAGCCGAGGCCCCTCAGCGGCCCACCCACACTCATGCCCCCCACCGCCCATTCCACCCCCAGCTCACCGACCCCGTGGTCCCCTTCCACTTCTACGACGCCTTCATCTCTCTGGCTAAGACCCTGCATGCAGACCCTGGGGACGACCCCGGGACCCCCAGCCCCAGCCCTGAGGTTATCCGCTCGCTGAAGACCCTCTTGGTACACCTGCCCGACTCTAACTACAACACCCTGCGGCACCTGGTGGCCCATCTGTTCAGGTGTGCACTCAAAATGTGACCCCCCCCTTCCTGTGGCTGACCCCCGACCTCTGACCTTTGACATTTCCTGAGCTCTGAGCCTTAACCCCGGTATTGACACCTGACTCCCAGCTCCGGTCATGGGGCTGCTGGTCTGTCCCACCAGTGACGGGGATGACCACGTCCCTGTGACAGGGGCAAGTTCCCGCTAGGCTGCAACCTTTGACCGGTGACCTTGAACCTCACACCTGACCCCTGTTGTCACCCCCATCCTCAGGGTGGCCGCACAGTTTGAGGAAAACAAGATGTCTCCCAACAACTTGGGAATTGTATTTGGGCCGACGTTGCTGCGGCCGCCGGATGGTCCGAGGGCAGGCGGTGCCAGCCCTGTCACCTGCCTGCTGGACTCCGGACACCAGGCTCAACTTGTTGAGTTCCTCATCGTGCACTACGAGCGGATCTTCGGGATGGACGAGCTCCCCCTGACCACCGAGCCCCTGCCCCAAGACCCCAGCCCGGTCCCTGGGCCCCTCACAGCCAGCCCCCAGCCTCCACCTCTGATCCTGGTCCAAGAACCACAGTCCCCAGCCGTAGCCGGGGAGCCCAGCCCAGACCCCAAGTCCCACAGCGCCCTGGAGAAGCATCCCGAGGCCACGCCCACCGAGGTAGGGACCTGCTGACCTTTAACTCTCTCAATCTTGCTTTTGCTTTTTTTTGTTGTTGTTTTTTTTTGTTGTTTTGGCTTTTTGTGCAACACTGAGGTTTGAACTCAGGGCTTAGAGCTTGCAAAGCAGGTGCTCTTTCACTTCAGTCACACTTTTTCTGTGTCCAGTCCACTTTTTCTGTTCTTTTTTTTCACGGTGGCCTCAAACTTGCTATGTTGCCCGTGCTGGCCTCAAACTCTCAATCCTCCTACCTCAGCCTTCCCGAGTGCTGGGATTACAGGCCTGTACCACCATGCCCTACCTTCACTCTCTCTTTCCTTCCTTCCTCCTTTAACCTGTGCTCATTCTGGAAGGAATGAAGTGGGTTAGGAAGGAAGGGGTGGGTGACAATGGGTTAGCAGCGGGGACGGCCCTGCCTGTTGCAACAAGAATATCGATGAAACACCTGACTGTGTTGCCCAGCAATCCTTCTAGCCTTTTCAGATAGATACCTCAGGGGAGGCGACCCTAGTTAAATGCTTTTTGGGTCCTGCATTCTCGGCAAAGATGAGCAAGAAACAATTGTGATATCAAAGTCGTTACACAGGACGTAGCAAGATGACAGGGTAACGCAAGAAATA